AGGACCATAGGAAGAAGCCCTCTTTAGGAGGGAGGGCCTGGAAGGGGCCGGGTGGACGTCACTTTCCTCTCTCCCGCAGCTCTCAAGCCACCAGGGGAAGACCCCAGGCCTCTCCGCTGCGCCCACTCTGCGAGGCCATGACTGACCAGCAGTGTGGTCTGAATAGCTTGACGTGAGTGACCGCACCCCCAGCCCTTCCCCTGGAAGGCACGTAGAGCAGGATCCCTTGGCAGAGAGAGGTGTGGCCCTGTCTGGGGATGGCTGAGGGGACAGGCTGAGTCTGTGGCCTCTGGTGTCCTGTGTTGGGGTAGACAGGCTCTGCCCACACAGAGCAGAGGAGGGAAGAGGGGCTGGGAGCAGGGTCCCCATCACCAGCTTAGGTGCCAGTTAGGAAGGAGGGTTTGGCCCTGGTTTGAGTGGACATCGAGGTGCAGCTAAGCCTTCTGGGAGAGGGATAAAGAAGACCAGAATGTATTTTCCTTCCAAAAGAAGGCCGCTAGGTGCTGTTGGAAATGGCTGGGTGGTCCCTCTAGATTCTTAGAAGCAAGGGAGGAAGGTGTTCTGGGCACAGGCTCGGAGGCCACGCTGCCTCCCTCTGGCCCTCAGGCCATCGGGCTGTTGGGCTGTCTGAGCAGCAGGTTCCTCCCCTGTGAAATGGAGCCAGTAGATTCTACCTCAGAGGGTTGGTGTGAGAAGTAATAAGGAACGCAGGTACAATACTTAGTACACAACAACTTTCCAATTATCACCAAGTAAGCAGAAAGTAAGAAAAATTATAGCATCTAGTACTGATGGGTGATATAGGGATGGTCATCCGTAGATGGTGACCTGGTAACGCAGCTGGTGTGGGGGCATTTCCAGCAACCTGGAGATGATCATAGGGAGCCACACAGGCGGTCGGCACATCTGGCCCATCAATTCTACGGCTGAACTAAATGCACGAAGGTGTTCCTCGCAGCATTACTTATAATGGCTGAAAAAGTAGAAACTACACAACTGCCCAGTGTTAGGGACCCGCTAACTAAATAAGTGCTGACTGCCCCCCGCAAGAGGATGGGCAGTAAACATGTTGAGAGCAGGGTCTGCCAGGGCTCGTCAGACAGCTGTAGGGAACAATGTCCTGAGGGAAAGTGAGCGCAGCCCTGCAGGTGCACACATGGTCATGGCCCCCCAGGGACACATGGTGACAAAGGGCAGGGGAAGCTCTGGAGCCCACACAGCTCCTAAACCTCAGCCCGTGCCGGGCAGTTTGCATAATCAGGATGTAGTGAGGTGGCCAAGGGGCCTGCAGGCAGACCCGTGTGCTTCTTGACCACAGGTTGTGCCGCTGCAGACTGGCTGACTCGGTCTGCCGAGACCTCTCTGAGGCCCTGAGGGAGGCCCCCGCCCTGATGGAGCTGGGCCTCCTCCACAACGGGCTCAGTGAGGCGGGCCTGCGTGTGCTGAGTGAGGGCCTGGCCTGGCCCCAGTGCCGGGTGCAGACGCTCAGGTGAGGCCTGGCCTGGGAGGAAGTGAGGGAAGGACTGGCCCCCCAGTAGTTCCTGAGGTCAACCTTCCCCCCAGGGTGCAGCAGCCCGGCCTCCAGGAAGCACTCCAGTACGTGGTGGGTGTGCTCCGGCACAGCCCAGCACTGGCCACCCTGGATCTCAGCGGCTGCCAGCTGTCGGGACCCGTGGTGACCCACCTGTGTGCGGTCCTGCAGCAGCCAGGATGCCGCCTGCAGACCCTCAGGTGGAGGCAGGGGCGGGAAGGGTGCTGGGTTGGGGTGGGTATGTAGGGGCTTCCCCTGACCCTGAAGAGGAGCCCCTCCCAGGGCCCTCCTGAGTGATGGCTCCCAAACCCAGCCCCCAAAGGCCCACCCTCCAAAGCCCTGACCCAGCCCTTGGCCTCGACTGCTCTGCCAGACCAAATGTCCATCCGCTGTCTGGTGCCCTGGCCAGTGTGGGCCAGAGATCCCGACTCCCCTTTACTCTCCCCAACTGGCCACCTTCTGTCACTGTGTGCCCCATCACGGCCCCCATCGCTGCCCTGTCACTGCCTCCCCCCAGCCCTGGCCTCCTTCTCCCCAACCTCCCCCTTCTGTCCTGTGCACGTGGCTGCAGTCTGACCTCCGTGGAGCTGAGTGAGCAGTCACTGCAGGAGCTGCGGGCTGTGAGGACGGCAAAGCCGGGCCTGGTCATCACACACCCTGCGCTGGACAGCCACCCCGAGCCTCCCGAGGGATTCAGCAGTGTCCTCTGAGGTCCTGAAGGCCAGAGCAGGCCAGGAGTACTCAGTCAGCCCTGTGGGGTAGACCTCCCCATTCCAAGGGCGGGAGCATGCTGCTCTCAGCTCTGGGCAACTCTGTGGAGCCTGGGGGCCTGGACAGGCAGGTAGGAGGCCCAGACAGACAGGCCCCTCACCTGGTCCTGGACAGGCCCTGGGAAATGCCCTTCCACCCATACCGTGGGAACAGGTCATAGCTTTGTCCTCCACGCCCAGGGACTCCTCTCCTAACCCCCTTCCTCTCCTGGGACCCTCCAACCGCCCCCCATGCAGACACCCCCACACAACAAGAATGATGCTGAGAGCACCCAGTAACTGAGCACCTGCTGTGTGTTGGTGACCCCTTTGCTGATCCCATCCCTGTCCGCGGCACGGGCCCCAACAGCCCTATACTCTGCCCCTGGCCACAGGGGTCAAGCAGGGGCTGACCCTTGACCGAAGGCAGGCAGGTCACTGTCCCTCCCCGAGATTTTGGCCCTGGCCTTCGAGTGAAGTCATCCTGAGGCTGTGTGGTCAGAGCCCAGAGGCGTCCACTCCCTGTCTAAGGTCTGCGGGGGCGGCGACCAGGGGAGGGAGAGGTGGAGCAGTGGCCCCCGGCTCTGGGTGGAGCTGGGATGGCACAGGGGTGGGCCGCCCCCCGTGCACTGATAATAAATTCTTCCTTGGATTCTTTTCTGTTGGTTTCTGTTGCACTTGGCCAGGCGTCGTACGTAACAGGAGCTCATAGTCTTTCCTTCGGTCCCCAACCCACCTGCAGTCCCGCCTCACAGATGGGGAATCAGAGGCTCAGGGAACAGCCTGACTGCAGGGAGGAAGCCCTGAGGCAAGGCTGGGCCTTGAGGGACAGGGCCAGCAGTGGACAACCCCCACATCCTCACGTCTTCACTGCTGGGCCCGCCGGCTCGTTCTCCTCCTGTGGGAGGGAACCTGGGAGTCAGCCCCTTCACTTCCCAGGGGCAGTTCCCTTCCAGAATCCACTTTCAAGGCCCATCATTCATCCCACACACAGACACAAATCCTGCCCTCCTGGAGCTGGCATTCGAGGCTGGAGGACAGACAGCACACAGGTGCAGGGAGGGCAGGCAAAGCTGCAGAGGACAGTGAGGCGGGCCGGAGGGGCCGGGGGAGCGCAGCCCAGCGCCTCCTGTTACACTGAGGGCGCAGCATCTGGGAAATCTAACTGAGGACCGAGCATCTGAAGACAGGAGGAGGTGAGGGATCAAGTCCCAAGGACATCCCAGGACGACCGTCCCAGACACCGGACTAGCAAGGCGAAGGCCAAATAGGGGGGTCTCATTTAGCTTGGCTGCTGCAACAAAACACCACGGCCTGGGGGTCGTCAACAGCAGACGTTTGTTCTCACAGCCCGGAGGCTGCGAGCCCAAGGGCAAGGCGACAGTGTCTGGGGAGGGCTGCAGAGGGCTGGCTGTCTTGTTGCTGTGTCCTCCTGGGAAAGCGAACCAGCTAGCTCTCTGGCCTCTTCTTATAAGGATACTAATTCCACTCTTGATGGCTCTTGACCTAATTACCTCCCAGAGGCCCACCTCCAAATGCCATCACATTGGGGATTAAATTTCAACGGATGGATTTTGGGGGGACACAAACGTTCGGTCCATACAGGGAGCACGCCTGGGACATTGCAGAAGCAGCAAGGAAGCAGGGAGGCTGCAGGGGAGGTGGGGAGGGGACTGGACGCCCACTGCTTGTGCTCCAGGTGAGGGGGGCACCACAGCAGGCTTCTGAGCAAGAGGCCTGGTCTGACCTAACTGCTGTTGGGTGGCTGTGGCTCTAAGTTAACAAGGCCTGTAGAGGGCAGAGCAGAAGCAGGGAGCGTCCACAACGCTAGATGGCCTGGTCTCAGAGGCCACAGTGGGGACAGCGAGAGCAGGGACACCCTGGAAGGTGGGGCCAACAGGACTTGGGACAGATGGGGTGTGGAGTCGCCATCGCCTGCGCTGGGGAGGGGGCAGGAAGCGCAGGTTTCGCGGGACACATTGACCCTGAGTGTCTCTGGCTGGACCGAGTGGTCAGAGCACGGGCATTTGGTTCAGGCTAGGGCGCCAGCGACAAAGCCGTGACAGGCTGGGGCCTACCCTAGAGTGTCCAGGCAGGCATGTGAGGAGATGGGAGCCGGAGACCAGAGTGTCCAGGGGGTCAAGTGGGGAGATGGCAGCCAGAGACCAGAGTGTCCAGAGGGGCAGGTGGGGAGATGGGAGGCGGAGACCAGAAGAGGGTGGGGCCGGAGCAAAAGGAAGGAGCGTCTCCAAGAGGAGGGCCGCCTGCTTCACCTCTCCTAAAGGGGGGCGCGGGAGCTCACGGAGAGGGAGGAGCCGAGACGGGAGCGGGCAGGCCAGACAAGGCCCCGCCCCTTCAGATCCACCCTTGAGACTTTCTCGTGGCCGAAGTCCGCGCTGTGCTTCTCACCACGGGTTTGCGCACCGGACGCACCAGGTCCACAGACGAGCCCACGCAATCTCGCGGGTGGGGACGCTGGGGGCGGCAGCCGGTGCCACCCGCCCGGCGGGCCCCGCCTCCGGCCTGAGAGGCGTCTGGCCCAGCTCCGCCGTCCCGCCCTGGAAGTAGGGGGGTGTGCAGTTGACCCGCACTAGGGTGGTGGTCCAGTTGCCCTGCCTTGGGGGTGGGGGGGTGTCCGGTTGCCCCGCCCTGGGGTGGGGGGTGTCCAAGTTGCCCCGCCCTGCGACGCCGGGGGGCGGGGACCGCGGGGCCTTCCGGCTACACCGCACCCCAGACCACTTCCCCGTCCGGCCCTGGAGGGGTAGTGCCGGCCGGGCTGGCGCCGAGGGACACGGCAGGGCCGCGGTGAGCTCCAGAGACGCGGCCGGCGACCTGCCCGCGTCCCGCAGCCTGCCCCCCGAGCCCCGGCTCCTTCCTCGGCCAGCGCGGGCCTCTGGCCTCCGCAGCCCTCCCCCCGCCCCGACCCACCCGCGCCCCCAACAGGGCACGTTGACCTTGAGGACGAACTTCCCCTAGGCTGAAGCCAACTTCCCACCAACAGGGCGGGGTTCGTGGGGGTGCGGCCTGGGGAGAACTGGAAGGGTTAGGATTGAGGTCCTCCAGCCGGAGTCTGGGGACTCAGCTGGGTCTCTGGAGATCAATGTTAGGGGATTCGAGCATCTCTGAGGGTGGAGGTGTTTCCTGGGGAGGCTTGAAAGCGGCGCTCTGGAAAATCAGGACTGCCTAGGTGGGTCCACTTCCCCCACCATCTGTCGGTGGCATCAGCCGAGTTCCAAGGGGGCTATGGGGGCTTAGAGACAGAGAGGGAGGCCCAGCCAATTGCTGGGGCCCCTGACCTCCGACTTTTCCAGGCCACTGTGCTGAGCAAGCCTTTCCATGGAGGATGCCAGCGAGGACCCCACCACATTCACTGCCCATTCTCTGCCCAGTGACCCCCGGCTCTTGGCTGCTGTGACCAATGCGTACCTGGGCACACGTGTGTATCACGATACACTCCATGTGAGTGGCGTGTACAATGGGGCTAGGGGGGACACGCACCGGGCCATTCTGCCCAGTCCCCTCAACGTCCGGCTGGAAGCCCCTGCAGGGACAGGAGAGCAGCTGACTGAGAGCTTTGTCCTGGACACTAGCACAGGTAGCCACCGTCTATCCTCCCCCCCAATTGTTCCAGGTGAGTGGGGGGACCAACAGCAGTCCCCTCCCTGCGCCCGCTAACTCGGGATGCCCGACTGGCAAAGGAAAGGAAGCCCGAGAGGCGGCCTTGCAAGTTGCCCTGTCTTCCTGTCTGCCCCTCCCCAGGCTCCTTCCTGCATGCCCTGGAGGGCCCCAGCTTCCGGGCCTCCCAGCGCATCTATGCCCACCGCACGCTGCCTCACGTCCTGGCCTTCAGTGTGTCCATCACCCGTGTGGCCGCAGGGAGCTGGCCCGTCTCGGTGCTGCTGCGGTCAGCCTTTTCCCCAGAAAGCCCGGACCTGTACCTGTACCAGGGTCCAGACTTCCTGGGAGCCCGGTGAGCAAGGGGACAGGAGGAGGCTGGGCAGCCTGGGGAGGGAGCCCGCCCCTCAGACATGGCTGCACTCTCGCAGGTACCTGTATGGCCACACGCTCATCCCTGAGCAGCCTGGGGGGCTGCAGCAGGAGCTGCACATGCTGTGGACACCAGTGCCCCCAGCCCTGACCCTCGGGGAAGGCGAGGAGGACAGGACCTGGGAGTTCCTGACCGTGGTGGGTGGCAGCCAGGCTGAGGCCCGGGCCTGCCTCGCCGAGGCCCTGCAGCTGCAGGCCAGGGGTGCTCTGTACACCGCCCACACCCAGGCCTGGGCCCAGCTCTGGGCAGGCTGTGGCCTGGATGTGGTGGGGCCCCTGCCCCTGCGCCAGGCCCTGCGTGGTGCCCTCTACTACCTGCTCAGCGCCCTGCCGCAGCCCGGGGCCCCAGGATACATCTGCCACGGCCTCAGCCCTGGGGGCCTCTCCAATGGGAGCCGTGAGGAATGCTACTGGGGCCACGTCTTCTGGGACCAGGTATGCACCATCCAGCCTCAACACGCACCTGCCACAGGGCGAGCAGCATGTGGGTGTGGAGGGTCCTGTGGCTAAGGGCACAGGCACAACTGCTGCCTCTGCCCTCCCTGGAATGGGGGCTTTGGTTGAGGAAGCACAGGGGCCATGGCAGAAGGGAAGGCTTCCTGGAGGAGGTGGTGTCTCTGCTGAAGGATGTGTAGGAGTTTGGTGGAAGAGAGTGGTTCAGAGCTGAGAGAGCATGTGGCATCAGGCCAGGGCAAGGGCGGCCCTCACTGAGGCAGGAAGAGCAGTTGTAGAGGGGGCTGAGGGAGCCACGGAGACTTTAATTGGGGAGTGACAAGGACAGAGGTGTGTTCTGGAAAGACCCTCGTGGCTGCCCAGTGGAGTGTGGGTGGAGGAGGGTGAAGCCTCGGATAGGAGTGGGGGCCAGGAGAAGCTGGGACTTGGTCTCTGATGGGCATGGCGGGATCAGCTGATGCCTCGAGAAGCCGGTGCTGTGGGCCACTTTACAGGCGAGGCTCAGAGGGGCTGAGGCGTTCCCTAAGTCAGGCAGCCGGTGAGCGACGGAGCAGGCTCCCCGCAGGCTGCCCACGCCCAGATTCTGGCCTGAGCTGCTGGGCGGACCCAAATTCCCGCTGGAGAGGTGAAGCGCTGGACTGAGGATGAGGAGCATCTGGGCTGGAGATGGGGACAGGGTGGGCAGGTGGGGAGGGTCCAGGACAGACCCGGGTGGGCAGCAGAGGAGGAAGCTGGAAGGAGTCTGCGTGGAGGCCCGCCAGGGCAGGACGTGGGCAGGTGGGGAGAGCGGAAGAGGTGAGAGACCCGAAACAGGGACCCTGCGGCTGTGTCTCAGGATCTCTGGATGTTCCCGAATGTCCTGGTGTTCCACCCAGAGGCCGCGAGGGCTCTCCTGGAGTACCGCATCCGGACGCTGGGCGGGGCCCTGGACAACGCCCGGACGCTGGGCTACCAGGTGAGGGGGACCTGGACACCCACCTTACAGGGCCCCCACTCCCCTCCTAGGCCTGCACCCCTCACCCCAGGCCCCCTCTCTGGGTGGGGCTGGGACGTCCTGGATGCTCATGGGGGCTCAGCAGCATCCCCCTGTCTGCACCGTACAGGTGGGAACAGCCTCGCTGGGACCCAGCTAGGGTCCCCTTACTGCCCTGCCCCAGGGTCAGCACACAGTGTAAACTGGGCAGAAGCCACCTGGCCATGGTGGGGACATACAGTAGGCACTCAGAGCCACAGGCCCCCATGAGGGCCCCCAGAACAGATGGCGCCCCCTCCTCTATCTGCCCTCCCCAGCTGAAGGCTGAGAGCACGGGGAAGTAGGTGGGCTACCCCTGGCCCCCAAGAACAGAGTTGAGTCTGCTCCAACCCCCAACCCCTCAGGGAGCCAAGTTTGCCTGGGAGAGCACGAGCTCCGGCCTGGAGGTCTGCCCTGAGGACATTTATGGGACCCAGGAGGTCCACATCAACGGGGCAGTGGTGTTGGCCTTCCAGCTGTATTACCACGCCACCCAGGTGAGGTGTCACGGTGCCCACCAGGTGTGACCACCCACCCGGTGGGGCCACGCTCGCCCACCCTGCTGGGACTTCCTGTTTGGGGCCAGTCCTGTGAAGCATCCTGGAGCCAGGCCTTCATTTCTGGGCCCTCGGAAGGGTGGGCATTGGCAAGAAATGTGGTGACCGGTGGGAGCTAAAGTCACGGAGGCCATGGCTTCTGTCCCACCATCTCTTCCTCCCCCAGGACCTGCAGCTCTTCCAAGAGGCTGGTGGCTGGGACGTGGTCAGTGCTGTGGCTGAGTTTTGGTGTAGCCGTGTGGAGTGGAGCCCAGAGGAGGAGAATTACCACCTGAGGGGTAAGGGCATGTGGGGGCAGGTGGCCAGGGGAGAGGGAGGGGGGATGGTCATGGAGGCAGGGAGCATGGGCAGAGGGGGCGGATGGTCATGGGGGGGTGGTCACGGGGGGGGAAGAAGGATGTGCATGGGGGAGGGCAATGGGGGAGGGGTATAGTCATGGGGGGAGGGCATATGTCACGGGGGAGTGGATGATGCGGGGAGGGCAGACGGTCACAATGAGGGGGCAGGTGGATGCTTCTGGATTCGGTGTGTGATTTTGGCACCCAGTGCTGCCAGCCCCACGCTGGCTGCTGGCATCAGGGGCAGGTCCCTGAGACCCAGATTTATGTGCCCAGGAGTCATGCCCCCCGACGAATACCACGCAGGAGTCAACAACTCTGTGTACACCAACGTCCTGGTCCAAAACAGGTCAGACCCAAGACCCTGGCCCGCCTCCATCCTGCGGGGGCCAGCTGGGAGTGCTGCGGCTGCAGCCCCTTTCCCCACTCCACCCCCAGCCTGCGCTTTGCTGCGGCCCTGGCCCAGGACCTGGGTCAGCCCGTCCCCAGCCGGTGGCTGGTGGTGGCTGATAAGATCAAGGTGCCCTTTGACCCGAAGCGGAACTTCCACCCTGAGTTTGATGGGTACCAGCCTGGTGAGTGGACGCAGGCCTCCTTCATGGCCTCTTCTCCCCTCCCTCAAAGCCTGTGTCCGCCCCGATGCCCCCCTCTCTCTCTCTCTCTGCTCTCCCCCTTCCCGTCAGAGCCGTCCCCGCCCTCCCCCTCCCTTCCCCATCAGCAGCGCCTGCCCCCCCAGGAGAGGAGGTGAAGCAGGCAGATGTCGTGCTCCTGGGGTACCCTGTTCCCTTCCCCCTGAGTCCTCAAGTTCGCAGGACAAACCTGGAGATTTATGCGGCTGCGGTATCCCCCCGGGGCCCCGCCATGACCTGGGTAAGGAGACTGGGGGGAGTGGGCGGTGGTGCTCATGGCGCCCGGCCCTGCCCCACTGGCCTCAGTCTTCCCTTGCCACACAGGGGGCCTCACCCCAGCGTGTCCTCTGACCTCTGACCCCAGAGCATGTTTGCCGTGGGCTGGATGGAGCTGAAGGACCCTGGAAAGGCACGTGACCTCCTGGAGAGGAACTTTGCCAACATCACCGAGCCCTTCAAGGTTAGCCTGGTCACCCACACGCTGACCGTGCCTGCCTCCTGCTCAGGCCCCCTGGGTGGTGGGAGGGGGAGCCCAGCCTCAGGGGTCACAGCAGGGTCGTGCCCCGGCAATTCCTGCCTGACCTCGGGCCCTTCTAGAAGCAGAGGGACGGCCTCAGGAGAGCAGGTGTCCTGGGGTCCCGGCACTGACTGCCCTGCCCTCTGCAGGTGTGGACGGAGAATGCAGACGGGTCGGGCGCCGTGAACTTCCTGACCGGCATGGGGGGCTTCCTGCAGGCAGCGCTCTTCGGTTTCACGGGGTTCAGGTGAGTTCAGTGGCCAGCAGAGGGCAGTCACCGGCCCCCACCTGCCCTTCTCGCAGAACTTCCCCTCCCACCAGGATTACCAGGGCCGGGGTGACCTTCGACCCCATGTGTCCAGCGGGCGTCTCTGGAGTGTGCATCTGGGGCATCTCCTACCAGGGGAGCAAGCTTGACTTCTCCTTCTCCAAGGACACTGTGACAGTCGAGGTCACAGCCCCCACAGGGCCCGGGGCCGCCCCGCTGGAGGCTGAGCTGTGGCCATCACTGGCTCGGCTCCCCCTGCCCCCAGGTAGGCAGCCACACCCAGACTCCCCCAGGGGTCTGGGGCATGCGACTCCCAGGGTAGCCCACTGGGTGTGTGCCCTCACCCCCAGGATGCCCCCTCTCCCTGCAGGACACAAGATTTCCTTTCCCTGTTCAGCTGGCCGGATACAGAGGTCACTCTCATAGGAAGCTGGGGCAGCAGGTTCTGCTCCAGGAGTTTCCTGCAAGAACTTTTTGAAGACCTTAGAGGCCTGCTCCAGAGCCCACAGGACCGCCTGTGGACACTCTTGGGCCCTCCAGCCCCACCGAGTCCCTCACCAGATGCTGTCCTGGCACTGCCCCTAAATGACCAGGGCTGTTGGCTCCAGGGATGTTCTCGGGTCCTTCCCTCTGGCCACTCCCTCTGCAGGTGCCCTTCTTCGATGCCCTCTTGGCCTGCCATCCCCCTCACCCACCCTGCCCCTGGCAGCCAGGCACGCGGGCTCCAGGGAAAGTCTGGATTCTGTGGCCTGAAGTTCACGACAGTCTTCATCTCACCTGAGCCCCTCCCAGCCTAAGTCCCCTTGATGAGCGGCTTCCCTATGGCCTCCCACACCAGCCACATCTGCATCTGCTGTCCCTCAGTGCCCCTTCCCCAGGACGCCACAGGACAGGGCTGGGGAGAGGCTCTGCTGAGAAGGCAGAGGAAGGCACAGTCCTCCATGGGGAGGACGGCAGGACGAGGGCATTGGGGAGGGGACTCAGTCCCTGCAGGACTCTCAATTGCAGCTTCACCACAAAGGAACTTTCTGTATCACACAACTGAGCATCAGGCATGGCTGAATACAGGCGCTCTTGGGCTGTCACAGAGACCGCATCCTCAGTCCTTGGCTCCTGTGGCCGCTGGGCCACTTCAGTCAGGTTGGATGGCCTCCGTCACATGCCTTTCCTCAGTCGGGAAGGGAGGGGGTGGGATGTGGAGCAAGACCCTTCATCTTCCCTCTGACCAGCCAGAAGGACGGGCAAGTGTGCATGGCTTCAAGGCCACGGCCCTGGGCCCACCTGTCCTGTGCAGGCTGCCTATGGCCAGAGGCTCTGCCCAGGTCTCCTGGGGCTTCAGGCCCTCGGTTGGCATGTCCAGCTTGGGTCCTCCGGGGTGTCCCAGGAGTGAGGGGAGATGGCACCTGCCACTGAGCAAGGTGGTGAGGAATTAAAATTTGGTGCTGGGAGAAGCTCTCTCCTCCTGAGAGGATTGTGCAGCAGAGAGTGTGTCCCTGCTGCCGGTGGGAGGGGCAGTAACTTGCTCACTAGAGCAAGCAGGCGTCCAGTCCCTGGTGTCAGCAGCTCCCACCCTCCTTGGTTCCAGCAAACCGCTGTTCTCTGCTCTGCGAGAAGCAGACACCAGGCAGAGGCACTGTCTGGACGAAGCCGCATGCGGGAGAGAGAAAGGAGGTGGGTGGAGGCATCGGGGGCCCCAGAGCCGTGTTGCTTCGGAGAGCAACATGGGGGACAGAGCATGGCCTCCGATGAGTGTGGTCACGTTGCAGACCAGCACGCATGTCACTGACGGCTACCCGAGGGCCTATGACCTCGGGGAATGCAGCCAGCGTCTTGGTGGGGCTTGCCCAGGCACCCACAGGCTCTCTCTCAACTGCTGGCTGTGTAGCAGAGGCCCCGGCGGTCTGGTAAAGCAGAGCATGGCGGCCGGGGACTGTCCCTGTGGAGCAGACACTAGCCCTGGAGCCAGACATGGGTGCAGGCCTAGGTGGGGTGGCAGGTGGCCCTGCACCCACAGGACTGGTGTAGCCTAATATTTGCTGCCTGGGCAGGCCACGTGCATGCAGCCACCTGTGGGCATAGTGGGCGACCCTCTGAGGGGCCGGGGCAGGGTGGCAGTGCATGTGTGCTGGCATGGCTGGTCAGGGGCCTGTGGCATCCAATTGCCTAAAGCTGATCAGGGTCCCTCAGCCTGCCCAGGAGACAGCCTGAGCAGGGAGGGCTGCTGGTGACTTTCCCCATGCCTGGCTTCACCACACACTTTCTATCCTTGGCACCTGGGCATGGGCCAGACAACGTCTGCTCCCCTCACCAAATCTGGGAACTGGCAGACCATCCCGTGCCTGGGGAAATGTACCCAGCCACACGGAGGCCGACCCTGCTCCCAGCCTCTGTGCCCAGCATGGTTTGGTCCCTTCTTGGGCCAAGCCTGGAGCTCAGGGGTGGCATGCTGTCTCCATCCTGGTCCAGGCACTGGCACACTGCCCCGTCCTCTGTCCAGTGTGGGCCCGGCACCCTCTCTGCTGGCACCCTGGACACAGCTGGGCCAGTGGCTAGGTGGGAGTTGTCTGGGGGCTCCAAGTACAGCTGTTAGACAGAGACCCCCACCCCTAGCCCAGGCAGAATGAGCAGGAGTGGGGAGGGAAGGCACCCTGGGTGGGGTGCTCAAAACTCTGAGCTGCCCTGTGGTTAAGGCCCTGCAATTAGCTTGCCCTGTCATTGGCCTGGCCACAGCGAGGCCCAAGGGGCCTCACCCCAGCCACACAGGGTGTGTGTATCTGTTTAGCAACCCCCTTTGCCATGCTCTGCTGGTTCTGGCCGGGGCGGGCACAAGGGAGGTCAAATAATACAAGGACACGTAACTAGCACCAGAGACACTAAGAAGACCCTCACCCCCCAATTTCTTCCCTCTCTGCACAGTTGTGTGGGGGGTTGCAATCCTGTCACATGTGTATGATGTACATGTGCATGGATGACCACGTGACCATGCCTGTGTGCTTGTGTGTCTGTGTCCAGCCCCCCTGATCCACGAGGGAGGGAACCCACCGCGGAACCGATATGTCTCAGAATTCAAGGAACGCAGGAGTCACAGGACAGACAGAGCGACCCACAGAAGGAGGTCGTGCCCAACCCAGAGGAACCTGCAGGACGAGGACGAGAGAGCTCACTGGCCAGGGACTCCCACCTGACTTATGTGCACACACATGCGTGCACACAGACTGGGGATGGGCACACACGTGGAATCAGGGAGACACATCACACCCGTTCTGGAAGACAGGCCACTAAACCACAGCAGGCAGCAGAGACCAATGGAGTTCCCAAACTTGACCCTAAAATACTCAGGCGCCTCCGCCCCAGAAGCCACAGGCCACCCAGTGCCTGAGCGAAGGGAAAGTCGGGGCACAGCCAAGCAGACAGAAGGGGGTGTCCCTCCCGTCGACACTGGGGTCAGTCCACGGGGTTTGGCTGCAGTGGTCTCTAGCGTAGCTCCCTCAGGAGGACACCCTCCCCCACCCCAGGAGGCACTTTTGGAACCAGGCACTTTTAATTGTGAAACGAGTCTGAGACTGGTGAGTGGAGAGGGAGGGTCTGGGGGTGCAGGGAGTTAGGGGATCAGAGCCACGGAGGTTGGAGTGCAGCCCCTGGGATCCAAAGGGGGTCTTCAGGGTGCCCAGGCGGGGGCGGTGGGCAGCAGGCCCTATAGTCGAGTTGGGCTTCCAGGAGGTCAGGATGGAGCCCCTGGGGCAGCACCCTGGGGACTGGGGTCCCTGGGTCAGGACAGGGACAGGGTGCAGCCCCTCAGTCATAGTCTGAGTCGTCGAACTTGGTGCTGAAGAAGGCAGCAGAGTCCTTGGCCAGCCGGGACAGGTGCAGGGCGCCAGTCACCACCAGTGCCAGGAGCAGCAGAGGGGGCACCAGGGTCCACATGGTGGCCAGGATGTTGTAGCACTTGGCTCTGGAGCCGAGACGCCGGGCTGCCTCCAGGTCTCCGGCCACCTTCTGGTCTCGGGCCTGCAGACCAGTGGCAGGGCCAGGTCTCTACACGCGCTTGGGGCCTGGGGTCCCTGCCTCCCCCACCCCAGGCAGCCACTGGGTCCACACCTTGGAGGGCCCGTGCTGGGCCCAAAATCTGGATGGAGGGATGATGCAGCCTGAGGGGACATTGCCCTGACTTGACCCACTCCCTTCAGGGCCCCCAGATAAACACCTGGGCTTGGCCCTCAGCGGTGCCTTGGGTCTTAAGGGACCTCAGCCTAAGATGAGGCTGGAAGGGGCCCCTGTCTCCTCCCACTCCAGCTGTGGCCATACCAGGCCAGCCTCCAGGGACTCTCTAGGTGGGGAGTCCTCTGGGGTGCTGAGAATCACCCCCCACCCCCTCCCAAACCCCCGCCCCACCACAGGAGCCAAGGTCTTTGTTCACAGGACCCTCAGCATGTGAAAATTCCCCATTTGATGAAAGAGACCCCCTTGGGTAAGCCCCCTTCGACTCTGCTCTCTTGGATGGACTAGACCCCCTTGAGGACAGCCCCTTTGTTTTTGTGAGCAGCACCCCCTTAGGAGAAGCCCGCATGAGCCGAAAAGCGCCCACTACCGCCCTGCCCAGGGAGCAGCCCCTCATAAGCAGCTCTCCTTGGAGACCCCCTCCTCCCCCTACTTGATAAGCAGCCCCCCCACGAGCCTCTAAGCCCCCCTTAACCAGCAACCCCCACAGAGACCCCACCCCTGCCCACACCTTGCTGGCAGCGCCCCCTGAAACGCTCTTGGGTCCCCTGGACAAACAGGCCCCCAGGAGGCACCCCGCCCGCCCACCTTGATGGAGTAGGCGAGCGCCAGGAAGCCGAGGCAGCACAGGTTCAGGTAGAGGGTGCTGAACACCGACCAGATCAGGTGGTCCCGAGGCGGGGGGCGCGGCGTCCCCAGCGCAAGGGCTGTGTGGGCGGCGCCGTCCGCCTTGCGGGGGGCCCGGGGGTCCTCGCGTGGGTACGACGTGTCCATGGGTTCCAGCGCCGTCTCAGCCTCGCGCAGACTCCACTCCGAGGGTGGGCGCCCCAGGCCGCTTATAGCGCCCGCCGCCCTCCCCCCGTCCCGCGGGCCGGCCAGCGCCGCTAAATATAACGACAAATGACAGCCTGGAGCCGGGCACCGGCCCGCCCGCCCCCCCGAGCCCCCCTCCCGGCCCCTGGCCCCCACGCGCGAAAGCCTCGATGGAAGGCTGCTGTGGGTGGGAGGGGGGCGTGCAGTGGCCGCGGACTCCCACCAGAACCCCTCCGTCCCTCAAGCCCCGCCCCAGGGAGCCCCCCCATCTAAGGCTGCTAATGGGGAGTGTGCGGTGGCTGCATACCAGCCGCGGGAGACCCCCACCTGCACACCCGCTCCCCTCACACCCCCAAAGGCTGCTGGCGGGGGTGTGTAGTGGCTGCAGACTCTCCACCGGAGCCCCCTCCCCAGCGGCCAAAAGGAGTTGGAGGGCCACCTCAGGGCCATGCGCGGGCGCGAGGCTACCTCAGCGTCAGGGAAGGTCTGGAGCCCCCCAGGCTTCTGCTCGGCCCCCTCCTCAGGACCAGGGCTGCTGGAACCCCAGCCCATCTGTCCCTAGAACTCAGCTCAGGCTCTGCCCACATCACCTTCTGGTCACCAGCGCCCAGCCTGGGAATGCAAAAGTCCCTGCTGCCCTGCTAGTGGGAGGGGACCGGCCCCTGCAGGGTCAGTGCTCAGGAGAAAACAGAGTAGGGAGGAGGGAAGGCTGGAGGGCGGGG